TTGATATATTCCTATTTGGTTATTCTTATTACTAAATTTGTAATGTTATGGTCTCAGATGCCGCCATGCAGGCCTAGAAAACAAGTTTTGTTAAACATTTTCCTTGGCCTTTCTGGACGTTGCCGCCAGGCCCCGGCCAAAGCAAGCAGCAGCAGCACCCCCCCCCAGATATTTATCCACACCACACCCCCAAAGAAAATATGAAAATCCGTCTCTGACAAATTTATGTCAAATGCTTAACATTTACATCTTCAAACAAGAAGAATCAATGAGAATAATATAAGAAGATGCATGTATAAGAAGATTTTGGGGGGAAAAAAAATTTTCTTATATAATATAAAAGATATAATAAAAATTGATTTAAAAATTTGCCAACCCAGCAGAGTATAGAAAACCACTTGTAAATTATTTAATACATGATGATCTTCTGAATCATTTCAAATTTCAGATCGAGTTCCAGGTGACGTTTCAGACACGGATGATAATGATGGTTCTGAAAAGTATCTTGTTGCTATCCTAATACCATCGGCAATATTGCTGGTCATTTTATGTGTTATTGCATATTGTATCTATACTCGTCGACTCAAATCAAGCACCGACGTCGATCATATGCATTTGCCTGATGCGCAGCATATTGATGATGATGATGATGTGGGCAAAAGCCCCGGGGAAGATAATGATGATCATTTCTATGGTCATGTAAATCCAGATATACAAAATGTGTACGCAGATGAGAAGGAAACTGGAATTTAATGTTGTATCCATGCCTAGTTAATCAAGATATGTTCTGGAAAAGTATATAATGATCTAGGATTTTATGTATATTTCTGACTGAGGACTGGACTAAATTTCACATCTGCGCAATTTAAAGGGAAGTGGAAATATATTTTTTATTTTCTCGTTTGAAAGAACTTTTAATACAGGGTGTAGAAAAAAAACTGAACAGATTTGAAACTGCTCTCAATTTCGCAAAACAGCTATTGGTATCCAGATGTTGATGTATATAGCTTCCTTTGGTACTTATAATGTAGAATAATGAAAAAATTTCTCGAACTCAAATTTTGTGAACCAGGGGGGGCGTGTCTTTTCCAACAGACTAAAAATGTCTTGCGCACGAAATTTAAAAGCTTTAATCATATTGTGAGTTAATAAATGAACAATTTGTTGGGTTTGTAATCACTGTACAAAATTTCAGACAATTTGCTTTAGTTTAAGCCCTTTAACTATTCGCGCAAACTTACATTTTTTCCTAAAAATCAGCTATTTGCATGCTTAATGCCTTTGCCTAATTTGCATATGTCAGCAATATGCAAGTTAACTAAGGGGCCATTCACAAAGGATGTCCGAGCCAAGGGGGGGGAGGGGGGTTTGGAAAATCAGGACAAACTCGAACATAGGGGGGGAGGGGGGTTTTTTGGCAATCCGGATGTCCGAAATTTAAAAAAATTCAAGAACAAATTTCTTTTCCCTCTATTTTGAGCAGTCCTTCTCATTGTGAAATTGGCATTTTGACTGTGCGGTTAACACTAGATTTTGTTTTAATTAGTAATTTATATGTTTTTGTATTCACATTTATAGTTATAAAAAAGTTCTAAAAGTAAAAAAATTTTTTA